ATTTGCCTTTTTGCCACCGCATCACACTGACTGCTCATATTTAGTTTACAGTCCACCCTTACCCCAAGATCTCCTTCGCATACACCACTCCCCAGAAACGTTTCCCCCATCCAGTATTTGTGCTTGACATTTTTGTGGCCCAGATGTAATACTGTGCATTTATCTTTGTTGAATTGTTGAAACTTTGTTGAATTGCATTCTGTTCGCAACTGCCCACTTCTCCAGAGTATTCAGGTCTTCTTGAATTCTTGGGTGTTGCTATTCCTCCCAATTTGGCAACATCAGCAAATTTTTCTTCCTCCCAATTTGGCATCATCAGCAAATTTAATGCTTCTACCCCTTCATCCAGATCATTGATAAAAATATTGAAAAGTCCCAGGCCCAAAACTGAGCCCTGCGGCACCCCGCTGGACACCTCCCTCCAATCTGATGAAACGCCGTTGACCACCACTCAAGGATCAAGTTTAGTTTATTGTCTTAGCCATTGGCCATAACAACACAAAATAAATCATAGCACAACCAACAGAATACATCAGTAACTTACAGTAAGTCCTAGACCCCACTAGACACCTCCCTTCAATCTGATGAAACACCATTGACCACCACTCTTTGGGTGTGGTCCTCTAAACAGTTACCTACCCACTGAGCTGTCCTATAGTCCAGTCCACAGTCTTCAAGTTTGCCCATCAGAATGTCAGTGAACTTCAGCGTCTAAAACCCGCAAAGAATCTAGACTGGCACAGTAGTTTCCAAGTTAAAAACTTAATAAGGCCAGTTGGCAAAAACTCAGTGGAGAGTCTTTTGTTACACCTTTCAGACTAGCAAAGGTAGTGTGGCACGGGATTTTACAGCATTAGTTGCGTGAATCCTTTCCATTCAGTAGGAACAGATACACCAGGAAAAGTGACCCCTGGTCCCAAATGTGGCCTCTGGGATGTGGTGCAGTGGTCAGAGTGTTGGACTAGGATCAAGTAGACTCAGGTTCAAATCAACATTCTGCCCTGAAAGCTTACTAGCTGACTTTGGGTCAGTCACGTGCTCTCAGCCTAACCTACCTCACAGGGTTGTTGTGAGTTTTAATACTGATGTCTTTTTTTTTACAAAATGCAGACATTTTTCTTATTGTAGCGGGGGGCCCTGGCCAGACCCAACTACCTCCCCATCCCACAGGCGGGAAGGGGAAAGATATCCTGCCTTTGAAGTGAGACCCTCTGATGGGAGCAAGCCAATCAGAGGTGCAAGCCTTGCGCATTCAAAGTAAGGACTACAAGTTCCCAGGGAGGCGAAAGCGCGAGGCATCAAGGTCAGGCTGCCAGATAAGGCGCAGGGAGAAAATGCAAGTTAACATTCCAGGAAAATAAGATGATCACTCCACCAACTCCCTTCCCCCACCAACCATGGCAGCATAGCTGACAACGGGTACTGATCAGTAGGTCATATCAGTTTTGGCAGTCGATCTGTAATATCCTGAATCCTGGCCCCAGGTAAACAACACATCTCTCGGAGTAGGGGATCCGGCCTGGACACGTTATGTTCCATACCCCTGAGCAGAGAGACCCCGAGGATCACCACTTTCCGTTTCCTTCCACTTCTGTGTGGCTCCATGCCCTCTTCACCCCCTTTTCCAAGTCTTTGTGGCTCTCCTTCCACTCTCGTCTCCGTCACCCTCTCAAGCACCTCAAAACAATTCTTGAGCTCCAGTGGACCAAAGCGTCGTCTTAGTCGATGTCTTTGGGATTGTACCGTAGAACTGAGAGGAGGCTCAGAAGGGAGATCGACTCTTCCTTCTTCTCCTTGACTTTCTTCTTCATGTTCTTGCAGAGTTCCCAGGCTCTTGTCAGTAAAGTCCTCCCCTTCCTTGAGTCCCTGAAGGGTGGTGATCCTCTCCTGCAGGCTCTGAATGTTCTCCTCCAAAAGCCTGACCAGCTTACACTTCTGACAAGTGAAGTCTGTCTTCTCTTCCGGGAGGAAAACAAACATGGCACACTCCATGCAGGTGACTGGAAAGGGGCCTTCCGTCGACATCACTGCCATCCAAGTATGTTCCAAGAGTACTCTGAGCAGAGGTTCGGGGGCCCTCAGGCAGATCCTCAGGCTAAGAGCCACAGGCCAAGAGCCCTTTAGCTCAGTTAGCCCCAAACAGAACTTGAACAGAACCACTCCCTAGCAGGCTCCAAAGAACCCCACTCACCCTCAGCTTCTCACAAAGCAGCTGGGAAAGGCAAAACGCATAAGGACAAAAAACCCTTACCTTCTAGCAGCTCCTCACCAAGATCCTTTGGAAAGTCAGTTACATTGGAACTCCAATGAAACCAGTATTTGTCTAGCGAGCAAGACTCTGGTTCAGATCACTGGAATCCAAATTATACTTAAAGTAATGCCAAGCAACAATACAAATGTGTGTTTTAATTAGAATTCTGTAAGCCACCTTGGTTGCTTATTTTAAATTCAGCGTGCATCTTTAAAATCTGTACATCCTTTAAAAAAAATTATGATTCACTTATTTTATATTTATGTAAAAATGTTTAATTGTAAAATAAATAGATCATTTTCAAGGTATGCAAACATATTAAAACAGGAATATATTATTTACAACTATTATTACTTACATATTTACACCAAAATAGCATAAAAAACACATTGTAAAGTTTTGTTTTGGTGTCAGTAATAATTTTTTTCACAAACCCAGTTAAATAAGAGACATCTTTTCAGGAATTGTTGTATCTATTCTGGAAGTGGAAAATAAATGTGTTTGGGTTCCTATACTGCATACAATCAAGACAGCTCTGCTTCCACTAACTTTCATAGAAGCAGGTAGACTGTACTTCAAACTATCAAGCAAATCTACTATACGTTATTGAAGGCCTTCACGGCCGGAGTTCATTAGTTGTTGTAGATACCGCCCGGAAAATCTGCAACAACTACTAGCTATACTTCCACAATTATTCTTCCAAGAATGCTGGAATAACCTTCTGTGGTTGAGGCAAGGTAACATTTTCCATAAGTGGGCACCTTCTATCAAGCAGCATCCCAGTGGGGCCTCAGGTGGGATCAATCTCCCTGCAGTGCCCACAAGGTAGTTGGTTTGAGCACTAAGAAATAGGTTGGAGTAGGAAACAGGATCTGGGGACCAGAGGAGAGTAATAAGACAGCACAATTGGTTGAACTGCAATTTTTGGCAACTCTTTTGTTGATAAAACTCACCAAGTATGAATGTGGTACTGGTGTGGGCAGAGTGATGTGCCCTGTGCCATTTGTCCCAGGTGGAGTCACGGATGCATTAGCATGATTTTTATTCAGAGACTTCTCTTGTTGGTTATATCATTCACCTTTGGGGAGGGGGGGGGAGCAGTCGTGGAAGTCAGTCAAGTATTTCTCTTTATAGACATGACAGCTAAGACAGCGTATTCTAAATTCTCTGCTTCTCCCTCTTCAGACATAGGCTTATTCTCTCTGTCAACCCTTAAATAACTCTCTGACAACAAAAAGAAGAAGAAGCAATAGTAAAGTCTTCAAGGTAGCAGTTGTATGATAATTTTCTAGTGGGCAGTTCTCCATTGCTGGTAAACATGGCATATGGATTCCTGCACATGCAGCAGGTTTTGCATTCCTTAGCAACTGCCAAGAAGCAGAGGGAATGCTCTGCTGCCCTTTGTGGCCTTCTCCATGTTGAGCAGGCAAGGTGGCATCTCACCACAGACCCTCAAGAAGGTCTTTCATTTCCTTCTCTCAGACATGTCTCCACGGAGTCTCTCAAGCTTCATCAACAGCCTCTTCAACTTCATCTCCTGCAAGAGACAAGAACTGTATTAAGACTCGGAGATTCAACCTTTTGAAAAATCATGCCAGGGAGTGGCCCCGGTCACACGGCAAAGTTGCCGCGGGAGAAGCACGGATGGTGGGCGGATTATCCGGGTGCGATCACACCCCAACATCTGGGAAGTGGAGTGCACCGGTGGCTTACCGCCAACAATGCGCCTTAAAAAACTAGTACCTCCAAGGTACTAGTAAACTTTGCCACGGGCTGCCTCCAGACACCCGTGGTGTGATCGCGCCAGCGCGCAGCATTCCCCTCCGGTCCCTCGTTTACCCGCCGGTGCTGAGGGAAGGACCCGTGATGTGCTGCCGGCACATCTGATCGTGCATCAAACTGCGCCGGGGCAATTAGCCACGCCTCCCCCCACCCCCGGCGATATCTGGCCTGTGTGACCGGGGCCATAGAAGACCTTCTGGAGAGTTCAGTACCTGTTATATGCTAAATCTGGATTTTCCCATTTGGGGGGGGGGCAGGGGAAATTCGGTACTGAGTCATGCTCCTTTCACGCAGGATGTCCCAGATTCAGTCCTTGACATTAAAGAACTAGTCCCTGTCAGATCTGTCACAGGGGAGTTGTGAGATGGAACACCTGACTAGATAGACCTGCAGCATGAGTATTGAACCCACAATAACAGCTGCACATCTGAAGGCTTAGCAGAGAATGCCCGTGCCAGCACAGCTCGATGCTCCTCTCTTGTGGTGCTTTTTGCACACGGGTGGGTGGCCGTGTTGGCCTGAAACCACAGGACAAACTCTGAGTCCAGACCGGCACCTTGAAGACCAACAAAGTTTAATTCTGGGTATAAGCTTTTGTGTGCACACAACTTTGTTGGTCTTAAAAGTGCCACTGGACTCAAACTTTGCTCTATGCCTTTTACACTGTTAGTTTTAAAAAACTTAGGATTTAATTTTTTTTAAAGACAGTAAGCCATTTTATTTAAAAAAAGCACTTGCAATATTATTATTATCATCATCATCATCATCATCATCATCATCATCATCATCATCATCATCATCTGCTTCTTATCTGGTAAAACCTCTTACAATTAAATAGTACTCATTAGAATGGTTAATAGTCAAGCTGGACAATGGCTTACTCCAGTAGTAGTAGTAGTAGTAGTAGTAGTAGTAGTAATAATAATAATAATAATAAGCCACAGCAAAAGACAACTTCAGAAGGGCTTCCCCAGAACCGCAAAGGGCTGAGGCGGTTTACAAAATGGTGACATGTCAGAGGTTTGCATCCAGAGCTGATGAGCGCATCACAGATTTTTGTACCTATCGTGGTATGTTTGACAAAGGTCAAAATAGTAACCTGTGTAACAACACTCAGCATTTATAAAGCCTTTTAGAATATGCTGAGGTCTTTACATGTATTATCTTGTTGCCATCTTACAAGTAGTCTCTGAAGTGTCAGCTGTAATATTTCTACATTGGGGCTTGAGCTGAAAGTAAGAATGGCTTGCTGAAGGGCAAGACAGGCATGACAAACATAGCATCACAGAGTTGGAAGGGACCATAGAGGCCACCTAGTCCAACCTCCTGCTCAATGCAGGATCAGCCTAGACCATCCCTGACAAGAGTTTGTCCAACCGCTGCTTGAAGACTGCCAGTGAGGGGGAGCTCACCACCTCCCGAGGCTGCTGACACCACCGTGGCATGACTCTGACTGTCAAAAAGTTTTCCCTAATATCCAGCCAGTACCTTCCAGCCCTTAATTTAAACCCATTCTTGCAAGTCCTCTCCTCTGCTGCCAACAGGAACAGCTCCCTGCCCTCCTCTAAGTGACAGCCCTTCAAATACTTCAAGACAGCAATCCTGCTCCCCGCCAACCTCCTCTTCTCCAGACTGAACCTTCCCAAGAAGTCCCTCAGCCTTTCCTCACAGGGGGGCTTGGTCTCCAGGCCCCTGATCATCCTCCTCGCTCTCCTCTCCACCCGCTCCATTCTGTCCACATCCTTTTTGAAGTGAAGCCTCCAGAACTGCACACAAGACTCCAGTGTACAGCGGGACTATGACATCTTGTGATTAGGATGTTATGCCTCTGTTGATACACCCCAAGTTCACATTAGCCTTTTTTGTCACTGCATCACACTGGCTGCTCATATTTAACTTTCAGTCAACCCGTACGCCAAGATCTTGTTCACACACACTGCTACTTAGAAGTGTATCCCATCCAGTAAGCATGTTCCTCACTTTTGTTGCCTAGGTGTAGAACTCGGCACTTATCCTTGTTAAATTGTATCTTGTTCACATCTGCCCACTTTTCCAGCGTGTTCAGATCTCGTTGAATTCTATCTCCGTCTTCTAGTGTGTTCGCTGCTCCTCCCAGTTTGATGTCATTTTATTGTCTGTGCTGTTATAGTTTAGATGGCTTTTTAATGTTCCACTCTTTTAAAATCTTTTTTAAAAAAACTGTTAGCGGCCTTGAACATTTTTTTGCAGGGCGGCTTAAAATATTTAAAATAGATAGAAGTGGATACACATAAGACTGCCTGGAATCTTACTCGAACAAGCATGGTGTTGGGGTTAGACTGTCAGCCTGAGATCTGGGAGACCCAGGTGCAAACCCAACAGAACGTCATGGGGAACCCTGTCAGAAAAGCTTTACTGAAATCCAGGTAAACAACATCAACAGCATTCTCTTGAGCCAGTAAGGTTGTCACTCGGTCAAAGAATGAAATGAGGTTGGTCTGGCAAGGCCTGTTGGGGACAAATCTGACTTCCCCGGATCACCAAGCAACCCGTCCCTTTATATCATTCAAATGGCAAGACCAGGCAGCCTCAATGTGCTCAAGTGGCATTCAGGAAAGGTAAAGGGGGGCTTAAACCTTCAAGCTCCGTTCTGCTTCATTACGTGAAACGGAGGGCCCTTCTTTGTTATCAGCATGTCTTATTTTCCTTTAAAACGCTCACAGCAACCCCACTTGTCTCCACGGGGTTTCCTATTTTAGAATACCTGACGCAAAAAAACAACACTCCTAAGGTGAGGGATGATCTATGGTTGTGGTAAAGTACATGAGCTTGTTCCCCTCTACAGTCTATGTTCTCGAATGCCACTCCTATTATAAACAGACTAGCGAACACACATCACTTAATGTATCTGGTTGTTTGTCACTTATTTAAACTGCAACAGTCCCTTTGGTCACCATCGCCTGATTGTTGTTTCATAGCAAATAGTAATTAGTTTATGAATCACTTCACTTTTACTTATGCACTTGAAGTTGAAAAGTTTGTATTAATATGTATTGTCTTAAAAACTCAATAAAAACTTTATTGTAAAAAAACAAAAACAAAAAACGCTCCTAGCAGGGCAGGGGAGCTGACCTTGTATACTGAAACTGAATGGAGGCTGATAAATTACACCAAGTTGTTGCTTTGAAGTTTTGTAAATATTATGATCGAGCAGAGACAATCTGTCTGGGAATGCCTCTGCTCACGAACCCACACGAACCTCCACAAACAATGTCAAAGTTCATGCTGGGCACTCTGCCACAAACCTGACTTCACAAACCACAAACAAGGCAAAATTCGTGAAGAAATCTCTGGAAGGTTTGTGCCCATCCCTACTTGTTACTAACTTTAACTACTACACTACAATTAAACACTGGAAAAGAGATGGAAATAACTCCTACGTTCAGTGCTGGAACTTCCGTTTTCTTGGCGGAGCTTTTTCTTTTCTTCTTTCTCTTCACATTTCGGATATTTTTTTCTTACCCTGTGGATTAGTGACATTGGAACGCATTACACAAAATCACCAACATGAAACTCCTCCCACTTGGTTTCTAATCACAGCTGCACAAAGAAAACACAGAGCATTTTAAACAGAGAACTTCATAGCACATATTTTAAAAAGACGTACATCATTGCCATGACAGATAAAAAATACGTCTGAAGGTTACGGGCAAAGAGCACAACCCAACAAATGGTTTTCTCATGTGAGCTGAACAGGAGCTGAGTACAAGTCAGTAGTCCTCTTGTGCAATTCTTACTCATTTCAATTGAATTTGGAGACAAGAATGTCCTACAGGATTGTGCCCCAAGTCCAGACAGTAAGTAAGATGCAGCTCAGTTACTGGACCATCATTGTCTTATTCATATCATTTTACACGCTACTGAAAACAACAACAAAGTAGAGTCCCACACACAGATATTTGGTCAGCTCAATCCTCAATGGTGGCTGGTATCCTACACTCTCTCATCAGTTTGACTCCCATCCCTCCTTGCAAGCACAATGCATGAAGTCCTTTTTGGGCGAGGAAGGAACTACAGCTATTCCAGCCTTATCGCTCAGACAACTCTACAACTTGCTTGGCAAAGGAAACTCCCAAGGGCCTCTCAGAGCCTGTTTCAGAAAATGGGGACGTGCCCTAAGGAGCAGCTTTTTTCCAGTGCAAGGAGGACAAAGGCACCAGGGCAGAGCAAGACGAAAACACAGACCTACTCATTCACAGAAGTCATTCCGGGAGAGACTCTCCAATAGTTTATTGAGGGAAAGTGCTCATGTGGAGAGTAGAAGGGAACTGTTTGAATCTGAGTTCCCTGCAAGGTGTGCTAGGGTGTGCTAGCTCACAGATTTCTGGACCTCAGCGCAGGGATTTTCACCCTAGCACAGGTCTGAGGAGTGGGTGGCCCCGCCTTCCCTGCCCTCCCGCTCATCAACTGGCCTGGCTGGTCCACTGTCTTGGAGGGCGGTCTGGCGCCTGGCTGCGGGCCTTATAAAGGGAGGTGCTTGCACCGGCCCAGCCCATCTTCCTGTTCCTACCATGACTCCATGAAGAGCCCTCCTGCTGTGCTGGTCGGTAATGCGAGCTGAGACTCAGAAACTCCGGCCGCCCAAGATTTGCTGCCCTGCCCTGCCATATCAGGTGAGTCTCCCCCTCGACCCTCTCTGTTGGGGAGGGAGGTTGGGAGGGCCCAAGCCAGACTGTGCATTTCCCTCCCCCCCCCATGGGCGGCGCAAGGCTCTTCTTGGTCCTCTCACCATCAGTGCCATGTGGATGGCTGCAGGGGATCCCCTTTGCCAGGGAGGGAGGTTGGGAGGGCCCCAACCAGGCCACTTGTTGGGTGGGATGGGGGAGGTGGGGGGCCTGCGGAGCTGCAGGGAGGTTGCAGTCCATTTACTGGGTGGGATTTACTGGGGACCTGTGGAGCCGGCTCGTGAGCTGCCCAGGCTCCAGAGCTGCCAGGGTGCTTGCTGGGTGGGGTGGGGGAAGTGGGGTGGCTTGCGGAGCTGGCTTGCAAGCAATCGGGGGTGCAGCTTGGGTTCCGGAGGTGCCAGGGGGCCATGGGTCGCTTGCTGGGTGGGATGGGGAGGTGGGGGTCTGCGGAGCTGGTTCACTGCCACAGGAAGTGGAATTCCACACATGGAATTCACTGCCACAGGAAGTGGTGGCGGCTACAAGCATGGACGGCTTCAAAAGGGAATTAGATAAGCATATGGAGCAGAGGTCCATCAGTGGCTATGAGCCACAAGGTATAGAGAGGGGCTCTGGGGCAAGGGATGCTCTGTCTTCTTGGTGCTTGGGGGGGGTCAACAGTGGGAGGGCTTCTAATGTCCTGGCCCC